CCCCAAAACCCCAAAACCCCAAAACCCCAAAACCCCAAGATGAGAGATTGCATTCTTTACATACAAAATTAAAAGTGAGAGAGACAATTTACAGTTTAATAAAATATTAGCTATATATTGAAAATGGGAAATCATCCAATCACTATGCACATAAGGAAAAATAAATTTGTTGGCAATTCCAAGTACTACGCAGCAACAGCTGGGTCCGTAATCGTTATAACTGGAGCCTCATCTGGAATGGGGAAAGAATTTGTGAATAGATACACAGCAAGGGGCTGCAAACTCGTTATTGGTAGCAGAAATATTGACAGACTCAATGAGGTATAACTATTTGATATCACATTATAATATTTCCAATACTAACCATCCCTTCATATAGATTGCCAAAACCTGTATGGCAAGGAATCCTTAATCATAAGTTATTGCAGTGTAAACTGACGTCACGTAAGAGGACTAATGCAAGTAAATTATCATTTTCATAATCAATTATTCAAGGAGGTTGATTGATACGGCGATAGAAAATTTTGGCAAGATAGATATCTTAATTCTTAATGCAGGAATTTCAGCTCACTAAAGGTTTGAAGACGTGAAGGATGTCAAAATCTTTCACTAGATAATGGAGACTAACTTTTTTGGATATCTTTACCCAACAAAGTAATTAAGCTTACTTCATCAAGTCAAATAGATATGCATTGCCATTTTTGAAAAATACGCATGGTTAGATAGTAGTGATGTCAAGCTATTCTGGTGAAATCGGACTACATTTTAGAACTGCATACTGTGCCTCTAAATTTGCAGTGACTGGATTTTTTGAAAGTCTGAGAATGGAGGTCTAGAATGAAATAGATATAACTATAATTTGCCCAATCACTGTTGAAACAAGTTTTAGAGAGAATTCGTTAGTCAAGGCAGTCTAATAAACCAACGTTGACTAATCATAAGTATATTTAGAATCTAAGAAAAATGGCTCGTCAATGGCTGTTGAGGATGCAATCGACGTCATTCTTACTGCAATCGATGTTAAAATGAGGAAAATTTTCTTCCCTACTAAGGCATGGTTTGCAAATTATCTCAGACCTTTGTTCCCTGACATCGTCGATAAAAGACTTTTCGCAATGGCCAAATTATGAATGCTGTTCGAAACTTATATAAGAACCATGCTATAACCTTTATGTTGTCAATTCTTGTACGTAAATTGAACTCTTCCTTCTTGGCGTAGCTGTTTATAAATTTTGCACAAATTAATCAAGCATTGATTTATATAAAAAACAAGTTGATGTCATCATTATTTATACCATATTAATGGCATTAAAGTTACATATAATGGCTAAGGGGTTTTGGGGTTTTGGGGTTTTGGGG